GTGTGTGTTTTTTTAGAGAGAGAGAAAGGGAGAGGGGGGGGAGAGAGAGAGAGAGAGAGAGAGAGAGAGAGAGAGAGAGAGAGACATCGATTGGCTGCCTCTCTTACACGCTCCAACCAAGGACTGAACTCAAAACTTAGGTATGTGCCCTGACTGGGAATCGAACCCAAAACACTTTGGTTTATGGGACAATGCTCCAACCAACTGAGCCACACTGGCCAGGGCCTGATTTATCTTTATTGTTGAATAATTTAAAAATAGATCCATAAATCCCCAACACCAGGGGAGGAAGCCTGGGGCCTCCAACCCAGTGGGTTTGGCACACGAGGCCTAAGACTGCCATATCTGAGTTTCAAAACATCCTCAAAGTGAAAAACAAGCTAATACAGGCCCAGGGTATAAGGGGACCATTCAGAGTGCAAATATTATAAACCATTGTCTGTCAAAATAAAACCATATTGTGAGGTCACGAGTTTCAGTTTTTGGCATGGAAAATGCGGCCAGTACAGTCCTCCTCTGAAAGACTTGAGCCAGAATATACAAGTATCAATACCACAACACCACGTTTTATTGGTACGACGTAGACAAACTGTCTAGCCTCTCCAAGCCTCGGTTTCCTCATCTGTAAAATGGGTATAACAAGACTGCAACTTTGGGTGGTTGTGGGGAGGTGTGAGGACGCTCTACCACAAATACCACAAATATATAAAATAAAGTCTCATTTCCTTATAGGGTGCCTGGAGGTTAAACCAAAGCCAGAGCTCTTCCCGCCCTCGCACAGCACCTGGCATGTAGGAGGCACACATTGGCCCTAGGCCTCATGCACTGAATCCATGGGCATCCAAACCAGCTGAGGAGCTTATTACAAATACAGATTCCCAGAGTCCATCCCTGGAAACTGTGATTCCGCTGGGTTGGAATGTGGCCCCCGAATCTGCATGTTGCCTCCCGCTCCGTACAGCGTGCAGGTAGGAAACGCTCTTCTAGGAGGAGTGCTCAGAAAAGACAGGCCGAGTTCAAATGTCCTCCCTCCTCCAAAAAGTGTCCCTTCTGCTGCTCTGCTCTCCCTCCTTCTCCACAAGAAAACGACCAACCAGTCCTTTCCTTCTCCTCCCTCCAGAGTCTTGGGAAGTAAGTTTCTAGAAAGGATGCCCTTGCTATTTCTGGACGAAGTCTCCATAGGACAGTTTTGAAGAGAGAAGGGGCGGGGGAGGGGAGAGAAGGAAAAAGGGAAAGACGGCTGCTTGGAGAGGGTGGAAGGGAACTAGGAAGACAGAGGACTTGGAAGCGTTTGGCATTTACACCAAAAAGACTGAAATCCCTGAAGAGTCCCACGTGATGGGCAAACAGACCTTTTCCGTCCTCTAGGACAAAATCCAAAGAGTTTTCCAGTTGGGAGAAATAGCGGAAATGAGAGAGGGGGAAAAAATGGGCTGGAGAAAAGGAGGGTGGGGAACGTAGAGGGAGGCGAATGGACAACCAGGGACCTAACGACATACCTTGGATGTGAGTCCAGGCCCAGACAAAGGGCCCCTTTTTCAGTACCTTTTACACAAAATAAATAAATAAATAAAAATACAAACTTACCTAATGCTTTCTTTGGATTCCTGCCTCTCTGCAAACACCAACTAATGACTCCACCGCCCAGGACAGCCCCTCCTGCGGGAGGTAAACAGCTACAGGCTCTGGGGCCGTATCTGCTCAGTAAACCAGAACCACCATGCCGGCCTAGAAGCTGAGCGGCTTGTGTGGTGAGAGGCTGTGCACGGTTAATTAATTGCGTCACGTCTGTAGCTGATAAAGCAGGTCTCGTGGGTGGCTGTTTTCAAGTCTCACAGCTTTAGTTGGAAGTTGAAAATTAAAACAGTTGCTTCTCCAAGAGATCTGAGGTTCCAGGATTGAACTTTATTAAAACCAGGGCCTCAAAGAAAGCGGTGAAGTTGATCAGAGAAACTCGAGTTGGAGTTGGCCCGGAGGGGTTCGAGCTGCCTGTTGGAGTCTGCTGCTAATGCAACCATTAGCGTGGACTTTTAATTCAAAAGACATGAGCACCTAGAACTGACATTCTTATATGCATAGCCCACGAACACAGGCAATAGGGTAGTGAAGACCTGGGGGGTGGGGGGTAGGGGCTAGGAGAAGGGGGGGAATAGGCGGGAAAATGGGAGGTATCTGTAATGCTACCAATAATATATATATATTTTAAAAAGACACTGGCACCAATACAATGCTTGTGAAGGACATTCAAGAGAATCCATTTGTCCACCTCTAGATCCAGGGGCCATCCAGCTGTGACCCCTCCCCCACGTCCCCCTGCCAATGGGCTTAATTATTCTTTTTTAAAATATATTTTATTGATTGTTTTACAGAGAGGAAGGGAGAGGGATAGAGAGTTAGAAACATCGATGAGAGAGAAACATCGATCAGCTGCCTCCTGCACACTCCCTATTGGGGATGTGCCCGCAACCAAGGTACCTGCCCTTGACTAGAATCGAACCCGGGACCTTTCAATCCGCAGGCCGACACTCTAGCCACTGAGCCAAACTGGTCAGGGCTATTCTTTTAACTGTTACAGGAAATTTCAAACATACTTATGAACCCCTTCGCCCCAAGTACTTATTACTCAGCCTCAACAGTCCACTCCTGGTGCCTCTTGCTTCGTCTAAGCCTCGTGGTTCTCAAACTGAAGCGTGCATCGAATCACCTGTGCGGGAGGGGGAGGGGCACACACAGGTGAGCGGCCTCTCCTCGGAGTTTCTGACCCAGCAGGTCTGAGGGGCACCTGAGCTTTGCTTTTCCGGGTTCCCAGGGGCTGCGGACGCTGCTGGGCCAGCACCCCCACCCTGAGAACCAGTGGTCTTCACACCCACAGGTGTTCCTCCGGGTAGCTCATCCAATCTGATCTCGGCCTTCATAGCTTCTGAAATAAAATACCATTATTACACCTAAAAAACTAACAATCCAGTAATATCATCGAATTATCGAGTAAGCCTCACATTTCCACGTGCCTCATAGAAGTCATCCTTTTTTACAGTTTATTGTCATCAGAATCCAAATAAGGTGTACGCATTGTGATCACATAATATCTTTGCCTCTTTTCATCCTTAACCTCCTCCGACACTTCTGTTTCCTTGCATGAACTCGCTGAAGAGCCTTTACTGTTTTCCAGAGGCAGCCTAGCCTGTGGCAAGCTCTCGGAGCCGGCCTCCTCCCGCCCTATCACCTTGCTAAGTGAGTTAACCTCTCTCAGCACAGGGGGACTAGTGAATGTTTAACAACCAGTTTTGGGGGGGGGGGAAGGAGGGGGGGAAGAACAGGCCCTGGCTTGTCCATTTGTCGATTTCTGTGGCGCAAAAACTCCCACCCTGGCGGGTTGCGAACTGCCAGAGCGGAGCGGTGGCCACGAAGACAAGCGCGCGGCACAGGCTAACACGTGTCCACCGGACAGGCAACGGAAGCAGACGCCAGGGACATGCAGCTAAGTCATTAGGAAGTGATGGGTTTTGAGTATTTATTTCCTGTTTTTAATATAATTTATTTATAAGTTTATACCATTTAATTTCTAAGAATGGTCGTGTTTGACCCTAGGTGGCCAAATTCCTAGAAGCTGAACACCGCCGTGTCTAAGTCTCGCCTCCCTCACCTGTGACCTGGGAGGTACAGTAGCTGTGACTTCGCGGTGAGGATGGAGGAAGACCACGTGTAAAGATCCCGTGGCTGCCCTCGGTCCCGGGGGCAGCAGATGGAGAGTTACTCGCTCCCCCTGGCTGGGCAGGGAAAGCGCTGAGGGAGTCTGGGTCAGATCCACACACAGAGGAAGCCGGTTTCAGAATTCCAGGGGCAGAAACAGCCCGAAGGGTGTGGGCTCAGCACCCCTTGGCCCAGGAGGTGGGCCTGGCTTGATTGCCACACAGACCCCAGCTTCCCAGAAGAAAGGCCATTTCAGCGAGCTGGCTCAGCCCCGCCCCGCCCCTCCACTTTACACAGAGGCCACTTCCACTGTTTGCTAAAATCAAGACCCTTCGTTTGAGGTAGATCAGGTTACCGGGCAAGGTGATTATTGTTTCTAATGGTCTGCAAACAGGTTCTCAACTGTTCATCCCTCCGGTCTCTGGGACACGTGGACAAGCCGGACTAGACAGAGGCAAACACAGGCACTGGGAGCTCGGGGGTCTGAGAGATGCTACAAGCATGAGGTGGATTTAGGAGGGTCCTGTGCCAGTGAGCAAGCTGAAGCTCAACTCTAGGCTGAGGGCTGAGCACCTACATCATGCATGTCAAACTCGAGGCCCCCGGGCCACACCCCTCATTTGTTTGGCCCGTGTTAGCCTTTGAGTTTGACGTGCTTGGCATTATTCCCCAAATAGCCAGTGACTCCTTACTGGTGGTCCCCGATTCCTAGGAGGCCCTGAGGGTTCAGGCAGGGACTGGAGAATTCGGAGGCATGCCAAACATTGTCCACAAAATAAATAAATAAAAGAGGCGGGATCAAGTGGCATTAAATCCTTCACGCCTGTCAGACTGAATTCTCAGGCCACCACTTCCCACCAATGTGAGCTTGGGAAAATTACTTAATCTCTCTGAGCCTTGGTTTCCTCATCTATACAATGGGGATAATAAAGGTCTCCATCTACCCTGTAGGGTGGTGGGTGAATTATGAACAATGCATGTAGAGCACTTAGTAAAATACTTGGCACATAATAAGTACATGATAATAGTAGTTGCCATTAATATTGTCATAATACTTTAAAGCTGTGGATACTATCATAGTTCACAGAATGCCAATCTAGCTAAAGAGATTACATTTCATTAATAGTAGCTTTTCCCTTCCATGTATCTTCTCACCCATAGATATTACAAGTGGCATAGGGAGTGTCTTTGGGGTGTTTGGACCTTAAGAAGCAGCCCTCACTCTTTGTCTTTGGGTAAATCAACCCCGCAGGACCCCAGCTTCCTCATCCGGGAAAGAGGAGCCATCCGGGCACACCTCGCTTTATTGTGTTTCACAGATACTGTGTTTTGTACAAGTTGAAGGTTTGTGGCAACCCTGCGTCAAGCAAGTAGATTGATGCCATTTTCCCAACAGGCTCGGCTGATGGTTGGGATGTTTTAGCAAGATCAAGTATTTTTCAATTAAGAATGTCCATTGTTGTTTAGCCATGATGCTATTGTACACTTAATAGGCCAGTATAGTAGAAACATAACGTTTTTATGCACTAGGAAACCAAAAAATGTGTGTGACTCACTCTCTTGTGGTCACTGGCTTTCCTGTGATGGCCCCACACCGAACCCGCACGCCCTCCGAGGTATGCGGTGACGACAGACAGGAGGTGGGGCGGATGCTTTCAGGCGGACACGCCGAGAGCATGATGGCTCCTTGTCAGACCCCTTGCCCTGAAGTTGAGGTGGGAAAGCCTGGCCAGCATCCCCATCCTGGAGCATAGGTAAGGAAAAGACGATGCTCACCGTGACTTTCTGGATGTGGCTAGGGAAGAATGAGTAAGTGACTGATTGGTCTAGATCAGTGGTGGCGAACCTTTTGAGCTCGGCGTGGCAGCATTTTGAAAAACTCTAACTTAACTCTGGTGCCGTGTCACATATAGAAATTTGTTGATATTTGCAACCATAGTAAAACAAAGACTTATATTTTTGATATTTATTTTATATATTTAAATGCATTTTACAAAGAAAAATCAACCAAAAAAATGAGTTCGCGTGTCACCTCTGACACACGTGTCATAGGTTCGCCATCACTGGTCTAGATCCAGAAAGTTCCCCCAGTGTCGTCTCCAGCTCACAGTTTCCTGGGGAATTTCCCACCTTCTGCACCTATTCTTCATTCCTCAACAATCCGACAGGGCAGAGGATCCAGGCCCAGCTGTCACGTGATGATACGAAGTTCTCCTGCAGCCCTGCGATGTATAGGACAGCACAGGGACTACAGGCAATAACACTGTAATAACTGTGCGTGGGGTCAGGCGGGGACTTGAAATATCACTCCGTCAAGAACATGATTGTCTAACTGCTGTGCTGTACACCGGGACTAATACAAGATAATACTGAATGTGAACTGTAATTGAAAAATAAAATTTAGCCCAGCTGGTGTGGCTCAGTGGTTGAGCATCGACCTACGAACCAGGAGGTCACGGTTTGATTCCCAGTCAGGGCACATGCCTGGGTTGTGGGCTTGATCCACAGTGTGGGGCGTGCAGGAGACAGCCAATCAACGATTCTCTCTCATCGTTGATGTTTCTAGCTCTCTCTCCCTCTCCCTTCCTCTCTGAAATCAATTTTTAAAAAATTATTTATATATATATACTTTTTATATATAATTTAAAAAAGAAAAAAATTAAACAAAAAACAATTCTCTGGTGGGGTGAGCTCGGGCGCGGGTGGGAATGGGACGAGCCCTGTGAGAGGTCGTGGGAGGCGCAGGAGGCCTTTTAGAGCTTGTAGAAGGGAACTTGGCCGTGAGACTCCAGCCTGGACGCTGGGCAGAGAGCAGCCAGGCAGCGGCGACGGGAGGATCCCTGGGAGCCACCGGTCACCACCCACGTGGCCCCACAGCTCTCCTGCTCGGGGTGACTCCCGCCGCACTGTCATCTAGAAGAGCCTGTGTTTTCACTTTGGATCTCTTCAAATCCCCTGTAAATAGCAAAGAGCATTGAATATTGAATAAATGCATGAACCACCCTCCTGTGGCTGCGAGCTGGGGAGACAAGAGGCTGAGGCAACCGTTTTCGGTCTGTGCAGGGTGGCTGCGTTGCCCAAGTGACCTAATGCTGGGTCATTCTTTCCAGAGCGTTACACTTTCCTGCTGCCAATCCCAATAGAAGTCTCCAAACGCCAAGTCCCTTCCATGAAGCTGTTCCTTGTTTATAGGCAGGATATTTTCCCTGTGTGTTCCTGCCTCTGGCAAGATTTTAAACAGCGTCAGGGCAGAAAAGTCCACCGCTCAGAGCGGGAAGGGAAAAAAGAGGAGAATGTGAGCATTATTATGTCACAGAATCTCCCCCGCCTGGCCAGGAGAGTGTCTGTGGGTCTGATTACAATCATTTTGCCTGGATCCATTAGTTCTTATTTAATCAAAACGACTTACTCTTGTTTTTCTTTCCTTGCTCCCGAAAGCATGGCCTTGGGAGGGAGACGGTTTGGCAGCTGGGAGAAGCGTGGGAGCGGGAGGAAGTGGAGGCTCTGGACCCGAATTTAAGGCCAAGGCCTGAACAGGGACGCCATCGCCGCTGCTGCACGAGCCCCTCGGATCCTAGCACCCAAGGATCCCACTTTTATTTTATTTCAAAATATAAAGAGCCATGTGACCTGGCAAGTAAGAGTCTAGTCCTGGCCGGCCACGAGCCACAGTAACTTGGACAAGCCACTCGGGCACCGCAGAGAGCTCCCACTCCGAAACATGTAAAGCAGTGAGATATTTAGAAGTTACAATGAGAGGTACTGAGGACTGTGGTGTAGGGATATAGAGAAAAGCAATTCAAGGAACCCTCAGCTGGCATCCTGGCCACACACGCCTGGCATATGTAGATTTGGCGAGTTACTTAATCCCACAGACCCATGTGTAAAGTGGGGCCGGTATTATCTACGTTGGAGGACTCCTGTGAGGATTAAGAGAGTATGTGTCTAGCCCTGGTTGGTCTAACTCAGTGGCTAGAGCATTGGCCCGCATTCTGAAGGGTCCTGGGTTCGATTCCAACCAAGGGCACATGCCCAGGTTGCAGGCTCGATCCCCAGTAGAGGGTGTGCAGGAGGCAGCCAATCAATGATTCTCTCTCATCATTGATGTTTCTCTCTCTCTCTACCCCTGCTTTCCCTTCCTCTCTGGAATCAATAAAAATACATTGGGGGGCGGGGGAGGGAGAGAGTATGTGTCTAGCTCTAGCTAATGCTAGCAGATAATAGGTGCCCAAATAAACATTTGAGTGAATAAAGGTGCAGAATGATCCATGGGTGTTGGGGGGCTGCGGAGTGTTAGGTATTGTCAGAAAAGAACCTGAGGTCATGACCTTGGGGACCGGCCTGGCCCGTCTGCCTGGCCCGGTGCCTGGCCCGATGCCTGGCATGTCACTGGCACTCGGTCAGTGCTTGTCCGGTGAGTTATTCACATAGAAGTCGGAGGGAAGCTAAAGTCTGGTGATTACTTTCTCCCATTACTCAGCTAACATCTGTTAAGTGCCAACTATGTGCCAACGACGGCAGCTTCTGGGGATGAAGAAGCCAGGCCTTGCCTTCCAGAGGCTCCAGAACAGCCAGCTCTCAGGGTTGAGTGGGCAGGAGGGCGGGATGCGCTGGAGAACAATGCGTGAGGGAGGCCGGTGGGCAGGAGGGGCAGGCAGGGCTGTGAGTGTGGCCAGAGTTCCCGGTTCTTTCTGACTGTGAGCCCTTTGCGAGTGGGGATAGGAAGGGGGACAGGGAAGATCGCAAGGTACATTCAGGCTTTTACAGTCAGATTTCCTGTCTGTGTGCTTGGCCACTGGAGAGTGGAAACTTCTCTGCCACGGTGGTGACAGGTCGCGGGGCCTGGGAGGACGCGTCCCCTCGTTCCAAGAGGGCGGCGGGTTTCGCATCATCGGCAGGTGGGACTCCGAAATCCCTGAGACTGTCTGACCCCCGAGTGAGGAGCAGGGTTTTCCCCAGGCCCCGGGGAGGCAGTCCTTTCACCACCTCCAACACCTACCCCCACCCTTACCTAGACACCCTGTCCTGCACGCCGCGGGGAGTCTGGGCCTTCAGACACAGAGAATATTTCCTAGTGCAACACAACAGGCACAGCCCGAGACGCAAGGCCCGAGACCTCCTGAGAGGGACGGGGCTTGGAACTGGGCTGAGCGCACAGGAATTTAACTGAATATTAAACAGCTTTCCCTCTACCACCCCAGGGTGTTTCTGTTTGTCTCTCTGCAATATGCAGTTAACTGTCCCCAGTTAATTCCGTATTAGTTCTCTCTCCCTCCCTCCCTCTCTCAATGGATAGATTTTTATCTATCCACTCATTTAACAATTATCCACTGAGAGCAAACATGCTGGAGATACAGAGAAAAACAAGACAGAATTCCAGCTCTCCAGCTTGGCCATAGTCATTACGAAGTTCAATGTCAACGCAGCCTTTGACTCAGCAATTCAACTCCCAAGAATTTATTCTAAATATATACTCCCACAGGTGCCAGGACTTCTGCGTAGAAGGACAATCCCTGAACTATTTTAAATAACAATTCAAAATTAGAAACAATACAAATGCCCACCAATAGGAAACTGATCAAATAGATTATGCTACATCTAAACAGTAGAATACTCTCACTGTCCAGAAAATGGTTGATTTATGGGAA